ATTGGTTTAGACAATTAAAGTACATAATTTAATTTTAATTTCCTTTAATATTTAGTCATGTAACTAATACTTATTAAACTTATTTTAGCTTTGATTTAGTACTTTTAAATTATGATCATTTTCGTTGTGACTTGTTAATCTGCAATATTTGTTTTACGTGATTCCTTTATTATTATTTTTTTTTGAATATTTTAGTGTCATTAATCATATCATTGTTTGTGTTGTATTCTTAAGAAACACCTTAGATAGTTATATTTTGGTATGACTGAAGAAATATTTGAAGTACAAGTAAATTATATGTTTGTATGAATACTTTAGCGGAAAAAACCAGAAAACTCAAAAAATCCGAAAAAATTCAAAAAACCCGAGTTTTATTGGTTTGATTTGGTTTATAGATTTAAAAATCCGACACAAATAATTTGATTTGATATTTGAAAAACCCGAATCAACCCAACCATGTACACCCCTAGGTGAAACCTTACCGGCTTCTCACCCACCCTGTTGTGATATGACCATGTTAGTACCACTGTACAAAATAATTGTATGCCTATCGTATTAGTATATGTTCAATTGTTCATCGAAAAAATTTCAGAAATAGCAAAGATAATAGATATAATAAGGCTTTATAGATATAGTTTCGATAATTGTGCTCCATAGTTATAGTTATATTATTTGCTATGGAGGCTGCAACTTGTATATTTTACTTGTTCATTTGTATATTTCGCTTGCAAATATACATGATAAATATTTACAAATGAAGGTTGCAGTTTGTAAATTTTGCTTGCCCGTTTGTATATTGCGCTTGCGAATACACAAACAAGGTAAGTATGTATAAATTCTGTATTTATACATTTATGATTTTTTTTAGAACACTATTTGCATATTTTGCTTGCCAATATACAAACAAGAGTAATTTATTATGAGTTTTTCATACTTCGGCCATAGATTTCCCAAGTAATATTTAGAGAAAAATTTGACAAATAATGTTTGTCCATACAATTTGCCATTATTTGGCATTTTTTTTTGGCAAATATCCCAAATTTCCAAATATTAGTTTTTTCTAGTATTTGGGCCAAATCTCATTATTTGAGATCTTTTAAAAATTGAAATTTTACACCAAACTTTTATCTTTTACAAAAACACCCTCTATATAGTTGTTTGCGTTGTATTACATAATATTTTACGTGAATACCAAAGTAGTGATGAAATAGTGAATATGAAAGTGATGATATGGTTGTTGATGAAAATGATGAACAATCGGCTCATGGTAACAAAGTTATGTGTTTTGTTTACTTCATGATGTATGGAATGATGCTTGTTGCACTCACTCCAAACTACCACATTGCTCCAGTGTCATGGACACTACTTGTTATTTGTTGCAACGAAGATCCAATTGACTTGTAATACAAACTTATGGTTAGTTTTGATAGTTTTTAAAACTTATGGGTATAAATCATATTTTTCTAAAAAAGTGAAATATGTTTCCCAAATACTATGGCCAAACACATGGCGAAATTTCACCCAAATAATATTTGCCAAAATTATTTGGAAATCTATGGCCAAACGCTAGTTTCGTATACAAATAACTAGGGTAAGCATATACAAATTATGGATTTATACAATCATCAGGATACCGAATAGCAAAATTTTGCGTACTATATTTAAGGATTAGAAATAATTGAAACCATAGTTGTATTACATAATATACTCTAGATATTTGTTATTTCGCGTAATTTTTCCTTGTTCGTATCCTAATTCAATCAGCCCATTATTATGGGCCTCCTCCATTGTTTTTGGTGGGCTGACCCATGTTTTAGAGGGTCTCATTTAGGTCCTAAATAGTAGCTCCTCCATTTCAATGGAGTATTATTGTTTACTTTAATTTTTAGTACATCTAAGAAAAATGTCATTTTCCATTTACATAATGAGTAGTTCTTTAGTCTCAACTTTCCACAAGAAAAAATTGTGACTGTAAATGAATTTGCACTAGTTTCATAAGTGGTTGACAATTTTAGCATTCTTTTACGTGAATATACAATTATATGTATTGACATATATATCATGTATCATTTGTATGTCATGTGTATATCATATATATTTTACTATATGTACACTTGTACAGTAATTCATGTGACATAAAATTGACATATGCACAAGATAAATATGATAAATAGTGACATACATATGATATTTAATAATTTACCACTAGATCACCACCTGAAAATACCACAACCATCCATTTATAAATCACCTTATACAATTACTACTCAAACTATTATTACAGTAGACAATTGCTATTGGGGAGATTTTCGGTTAGCTCAAGATTGTTATGCAAGATTGAAAGATTCAACTAAAGAAAATAAAATTAGAAAGGAGAATGAGATTTTCTCATTTTATTTGGATTGATTACAAATGACTAAGAGCCTGTTTGGATGGGCTTTTAAGCTAGTCAAACTGGCTTAAAAGCCAGTTTTTGACTTATTAGAGTGTTTGACAATTATCAAAGTGGCTTATTTTAAGTCAAAAATGACTTATTTTAAGCCAAAAGCCAAAAGCTAAAAGCTAGGGGAGGGGAGCTTCTTTTTTTTTTTTTAACTTAAAAACCCTTTTATGTTGACCAAGTATATTACCTTTTTGCCCTTAATTCTTTTATACAATTTCCAAATTGCCCATATTGAATTATTATTATTATTATTATTATTATTATTATTACTATTACTATTATTATTTTTATTATTATTATTATTAAATTATTATTATTATTATATTATTATTATTATGTCTATTATTATTATAATAATTATTATTACTATTACTATTACTATTATTATTATTATTATTACTATTACTATTACTATTACTATTATTATTATTATTATATTATTATTATTTTATTATTATTATTATATTATTATTATTATAATTATAAATATTATTATTATTATTATTACTATTACTATTACTATTACTATTATTATTTTATTATTATTACTATTACTATTATTATTATTATTATTATTATTTTATTATTTTATTATTATTATTATTTCTGAAATATGAATTTATATTCCTCTTATAAGGTGGTAAAGAAATATGTGAATGATAGAAAAATATTATTACTTATGGATGTAAAACATAAATTAATTTTGTTTTAATTTTTTTTAAAGTATAAAAACCTTAAATTAATCAACTTTTTATCATGTTAACAGCTTAAAGGGTATTTCAGACATTTTGATAAAAAAAATTGTTTACCAGCACTTATTTGCCAAACACATCAACAACTTTTTTTCCAACAGCAACACTTTTATCCAAACACATAACTACTTATTTTAAAAATAAGTTCCAGCACTTTAAAAAGTTACTTTTTTTAAGTTAATCCAAACGGGCTCTAAGATTGTATTTATACAAAAAAAAGGGGAAAATTACATGGAAAGACCATCCTTAAGACTTAACTACATAAATAATAGTACTTTTTCAATATTACAAATATGTAGGTTTTTTTTACATATATAGCAGTTTAAAGAAGTTGAAAAGATAATAATGATTATTATTAATATATATATAGATATATTAATTATTAAATAAAAAAGAGTACGGTTGGTTCCCACTAATGGGTAGTTATCAAATTTTGTACGGTTGGTTCCCACTATTGGGTATCAAATTTTACATTTCTTCTGATATAAGCTTACATTATTGTTTTTCCTCATAGTTCAGGTAGGAATTTTATAATATGAATTTGACACCAACTTATAAAAACACTTGTTACCATTAGTTGAAGTTCATATATTACCTTGTCGAACTTGAACGCTTAACTTTGAACTGAAAATTCTCCTTGATGGCAATGTGATTTACAAATCTTGGAGTATCTCCTTTTTCATATACAACTGACCTTCTCTAATGTATTTATGAAATTTGTTGTCAATTAGACCATCCTCGTTAATTTCTATTTCATCACGGGAGTAGTTTCCATGTATTGGCATAAGTGATTGAGTGAGTTCAACACGTTGTACCAATTGCATATCTTGGCTAGAATTTGAAGTTGAATTATTAGGAATCGAATTTGACAAAATTTCGTCACAATTTCTCCTTCAATGTTATACATAGAGGAAAAATCAGTGAAGCAACTTTTTCTCTTCAAATCCAAGTACCATCTCAAACTCCTATCGTTGTATATCTTCATTGGAGTATAATTCTGCTTCACGGAATATTTAATTTCAATTGTATCCATGAAAGCATAAATACCAAGTATCTTCATTGTTTCATCAAGAATGGTATCAAAATTCGAACTCTCTTTTAGTGTCAAGCCACCAACTATGATATTGTTGAAATTGTGTTCATTATCCCATCCACCGCTGTGTTGAACCAAAATTACAGTTTCTTCTTCCATGACAGAAATTTAGATTGGTTAATATGAGTATTTTTCAGTTTGAGAAAGAAAAACAAACTCGTAGTCTCGTTCGCTTTATATGTAGAAGGAAGAGATCATCGATGTATTAGAATTAAAGGAACTGAAGAGTTTGTGGTAGCTTGAATCACTACTTTATTTTACCCATGATCTATTCAGAATGTAAAAAGGCTATAGAAGTAAATATTAAATATGTCATAATTGTTATTCACTGAATATGGCCATATATATGTAATTATTTATAAAAAAGTGTCTACTTATGTTTTTTTCCCAAAAAAAAGATACCATTGGTAATTAAAGGTCCTATATCGTTGTACGGTCTAAAATTGTGTTCCAGTTTGATCAAAGAGCCCAAATTCAAAGGAGCAGGACCAACATGAAGAACTCCAATCAATTTATCCACCAATCTAATCACAACTAGTGGCAACTTTTCTGCAGATTTTACAGACGTGACCAAACTTTTCTTCTCTTTTTTACATATAATAATAAAAATATGTACCTGGACTAAGTTTTAGATTCCTATGGGTAAATTCTTATTGAAATTCACCAATTAAAGATTAAAGTAAAAATTCTTCCTACCCACTTGATCCGACAATAGTTGAACAACGTAGTACCTGCCAAGAATGTGTGTCCAATAAACTCTCAGCTAGTAAACCTCTGAATATTTTGAACCCCTTTTGCTCTTACTGTTGAATATTGTCAATTCTGTAAGTCAATAACAGTAGTGGAGAAAAAAAGTTTGATTCTTTCTGAAGAATCTGAAACCCCTTTTGTTTTTTAATCTTGATGATGGAGCGTTATGAGATAGTGAAGGAGTTGGGTTCTGGTAATTTTGGAGTAGCAAAGCTTGTTTGTGACAAGAACACTAAAGAACTCTTTGCTGTTAAGTTTATTGAAAGAGGCCAAAAGGTTTCCCCTCTTTTATAACCTTAAATTTGATGTTTTTACTCCATCTAGGGTATTTTATTTATTTGTTTGTTTGTGTTTTGAGGTTGTTTGCAGATAGATGAACATGTGCAAAGGGAAATTATGAATCATAGATCATTGAAACATCCAAATATAGTGAGGTTTAAAGAGGTATATGTTCTGCTTCTTACTAATGGAATGAATCTTCTTTTATCTTTTTTCTAATAATCTGCTTTGATTCCTATGGGGGTTCTGGTTATTGCTGTCATCAGGCTTACAAGGAACTTTCATTAAGTTAAAGATCTTTTTTAAAAAAAATTTCTTGAAGAATGGAGATAGCTTCACATTATGATATGATCAAAAGTGGTAATGGATCTAATTACTAGAACAGAAGATCTGGTTGGTAATAACAGTAACAAGATTCTTATTGTTATGTGCCAATTGTCCCTCATCGGATAAAAGAGAAATGAGAAATGCTAATGAGTGTATAGGCCAAATGAGCTCCCCACCTATCAGACTAGTCTTTTTGGTTGGCCTCTCCTGTTTGGTCTATACCAACTATGTTATGTTATGATATGATTTCTTTTTGAAGAACTCTATTGCTCGCAATTAAATGCAATCGTATCTTATTGATTGGATTGAAAGCAATCAACTTTTTTTGATAGTAGCTCTAATTCAATGATTTGCATATTATTTTGTGTTTGGGATTGTTGATGATAGCCAGGATTACAGTGGCTGTTCAAAATTGTAGCTAAATGGCAAACAGACTTATCAATTTTGTTTATAGTTTGTTTTTTTACATGAATGGACTTAACATCTCCAGGTCTTGCTTACACCTACTCATCTAGCAATAGTAATGGAGTATGCTGCGGGAGGAGAGCTCTTTGCGAGGATCTGTAATGCTGGAAGATTTAATGAAGATGAGGTAAGGACGATACTTACACCAGATACTGCAATTAGTCTTGGCTTAGAACAAACAAACTGTGTATTTTTCATTTGATTTTATAACCTTTGCGTATGGTAGTCAGATCTTTGCTGCCTCTTTACTTGGTTGGGTTGGGTAATATGCCTGTCACATCCATGGTAAAGTAGTAGTCTACCATGACATTCATACGGTCCTTTGATGTGGGAAGTCCGCTGGGTAGTAGTCTACCATGTCATGGGCTCTGTTGATGAGTGAAACTAAACTCTTAATTTCCAAGAATGACATCTTATAAGTTGAAAGCACAGAGTGATATGCAATGAGAAGTGTCCCTTTAAATATGTTATCACTTGACTATCTCCTTGTGTTTATGTCAGCTCTTCCGAGCAGACTCTCTTCTAGTTTAAATCATCTCAGTGGCTTGATTATGTTTATTTTTTACTCAGGCAAGGTTCTTTTTTCAACAACTGATATCAGGGGTTAGCTACTGCCATTTCATGGTACAACATCAATACTTCTCTTGCTGTGAACTTCCTTCAGTCCTCCTTTTGGGACTTAGTATATCTTTGGTCTTCCGTTGCAGCAAATCTGTCATAGAGATCTCAAATTGGAAAACACACTACTTGACGGAAGTGCTGCACCACGTGTCAAAATATGTGATTTTGGGTACTCCAAGGTTACTGATCTTTTCTCGAGGTTTTAGTAATTCTTACATCTATTCAAGATTTAAGCTCATATAAAATTGCTGCACTTGTTTGCAGTCATCCGTGTTTCATTCTCAACCTAAGTCCACAGTGGGGACACCTGCTTATGTAGCACCAGAGGTCCTAACAAGGAAAGAATATGATGGAGAGGTGCTACATCTTTCTTCTTTGTCATAATATTTGTCGTATACACTCATGTCTCCTCCTGTTAATTCTTGAAACTATAGCTTGCAGATGTTTGGTCCTGTGGAGTCACCTTATATGTAATGCTGGTTGGAGCTTATCCATTTCAAGATTCAAGTGATCCCAAAAACTTTACAAAGACTATTTCTGTGAGTGATGACAACATAATCAGATTTCTAGTAGATGAAAAAGAAGCATGCTTTACTCTGAATTTAGTTTATCAGTTTGCTGCATTTATTGTTCATGCAAGTGTGAAGCATTGAAAAATTTACTGCAACATTATGATTGGCTAGTTTCCATGACAGAAAATACTCACCGCTCGCTACTCAATTCCTGAGCAAATCCAAATTTCCCTTGAATGCCGCCATCTCATAGCCAGGATTTTTGTGGCAGACCCTGAGAAGGTAATAAAATCATATGGTCTTCTGCGGATCATAGAATAGTTCATGCGTTGTGTCCAAGTGAAATATCATTATCAGTAATTAACTCATTGTCTCGATATATATATGTATTCTGCTTAGGTGCAAGGTTCGTTCCCACCAAAGGCCTTCCATAAACTAGCTTTCTTGTTTCTTGTTTCATGTTATATTGCGAATATAATGTGCGAAAACCATAAATGCATGCTGATTATACTTTTGCAGAGAATAACCATTCCAGAAATTAAAATGCATCCCTGGTTTTTAAAGAACTTACCAGTGGAACTGATGGAAGGAGGAAGTTACCAATGTGCCGATGTAAATAACCCTTCCCAGAGCATGGAAGAAGTTTTGGCGATAATACAAGAGGCTAGAGTTCCTTTGCTGGTTGGAGCACATTCTTATGGGGGCAGTATGGAACTTGATGAATTGGATGAAGCTGATATTGAAGATGTGATCGAAACTAGTGCTGATTTTGCTGGTCTACTGTGATGTGTTACACAATGCTGTAATTACCATTAGGGTGAAAGAAAAGAGCAACTGGTAACTGCTGTAATATCCTGAGTAGACACTCAAGAGTTCACCCTATAATTTGCTGATAGTTTTTTTTTTCTTTTTCCTTTTGACTAAATGTGTTTACTACTTTTGACATCTTAGAAACACACTTTTACCCCAAGATTACACAGTTTTGTTTAGATTTCTGGAATTAGATCGTTTAATTTTTTTTTTACACAATGTAGAGTTTTAGCGGGTGATATTTTAGCGTATATAACATTCATACAGGTGAATACAGAGGGATTGACTGAAGTTGCTATTAGCACCCAGTTCTCAGTTTAGTTGCATAGATGAGCTGTTTTTGAAAGCAGGACGTCAAATGAAATTAATAAGAGGTCGTAAGAACAACCGGTCAACCACCAAGCCTAAGCCTGTGTACCGACTCCACAATCATTGTTTCAAGTTTATGGTAGATAATAAATTTTGGCAAAGTTTTGAAGAAATGATCAGTAGGAAAAAGGGAAAAAAATATCAATAAATTACCTCAAACAAATGTTAGTGTACACACGATTGAACTTATTCAGCATTCATCAATAAAACTGAAAGATAAAAATTAAAAAGAACAAAAGAAGTTCAACAGGAGCCTGTATAACTATTAAGATCTCCCCATACAGCTTCCTCGACTTCTTCCCATGATTTTGCCATCTTCAGTTTCTTCCAAGTACTGAAAATAGCTCCCAGAACATTTTCATCATGCAAAATACAGTAACACCTGTACAGATAGAATTCATTGAAAGTGAGTTTAAACCACTACTCCATGTACGAATAATGTGCGACAGGGGAGTAGTAATAAGTCATATAGAATCAATGGATTCATGAAAAAGTAAAGCCCATTGATGACATATTTTATCACAATTAATATTTTTTTGGCTAAATTAGGGATCAAATGGTATATAGTTCATTTGTTGGTAGCTTGGAGCATTAAAAGCACGCCTCTTACTTACCAATTAATTGTTTGCATTAATTGCACGTGAGGGGTTATTTCTTGGTTTCATCCAGTCATAAATAACTTGATTAGATAATAGTAGATAGAAACAACGGTTGTAAGGAGTCAAGGAGGATGCGGTTCCAATCTGTTCTATCTTCATCCACAAAGCTCATGTTGGCTAACATAGAGAACATCCGGAGACTCTAGTTCTAATAATTGACTAAAACCTCCACTGAATGATGTCAAGTTCAAACTTCTAGTGTATTCAGCATGTTAAACAGTAATGCGGCGTATCTAATGACTTTGAAAGTGATTTAGGGGTCTGATTGAGAATATGATATTGGTGGAGAATCAACAATTCTAAAAATGACAAATCATGCATTGATTTGGTGAAGGTCGAGGGTTATGAATTCTAAGGCATGGGTTTATATGTTATCAAAACACGTCTTACTATCTTCATATGGTCGGATATTGTATAAGCTCTGGTAGTGCAATTTAACTTTGAAGAAAAAAATGTCTCCAATTGTTTAATGAAAACCAATGACAACAGTATAGAAGAAATATGACATGAGAACATATTACTCACATGGCTCGGTAAGAAAGTCTCTGAAATCCATTGCTTTTAGCTGATGCATTCACTCCTGTTTTAACAAATGGAAGTTTATAGCTATCCAGAAACTGCTTCAGTAAATGTGGATCTCCTCTAAAGATATCCAGGTGTATTGGGATTAAGTCAGCAATTGGGTCCCCTGAGAAAAAATAACTGGTTACTAATCACAGAAACTCAAATGTTTAAAAATAAAATGCAAGGAATCAGCATTTTACAACTTTTCGCATATGAGGTTTTTAGTGATGCAAGGATTACTGTGCGAACTCGAGTGATCTACTTGTAGTTAAGTGATGGCGGGTGTAGTATTTTCACACGAAACTGCCAATTAAATATGCACCAAAAAGCTTCTCTTGTCAAAAGTCAGAGAAACCACCCAAAATAAGGTAAAACCTTTTCTTTTTTTAAAATAGACCCACTGAGATTTGTTGATTAGCTCTCACGTTAAAATAAGTAAAGCTAATCTTCAAAATTCAAGGAGGGCAATATTCAATTGTACATTAGAATCGGTGTGCCAAAACATACAAGAAAATAAAAGAAAATAGTTTTTTTTTTTTTTTTTTTTTTTTGAGAATTGGTAACATTAAAATAAAAGAAAATAGTTCACAAATTATACTTACTAAGCAGTAACTTTGGAGTACCTACGAATATGACTCTGAAACTTTTCTTTTTGTTTATTTACTTATTTGTTTAAATAGGCAAAACCTGCCTCTTAAACTGGTGCCAAACTCTAAGATCCAATTCAGTTCCATATTAATTTCCATTTTCTTTTCTTTAGCTATTTCTTTTTGTGCTAAATAATCATTGACAATCTAATATGCACCATAAACTTAACCAGATTCATATGACATGAACAATAATAAAACAGTTCCTTTCATAGACATATCTTAACTTCTACAAATTATATATTATTAAGGGACAAGTAGTAGAGGACTAATACAGTACATATAGGAACATGGTTCATCCATCTGGAAAGGAAATAAAAAACAACCAGCAGACCAAGCCCAAAAAGCAAGTTAATAGTTGCTCAATAACTCACCAACAGATAGACCACTGAAATCGAGTATATGAGTAGGTCTCCATGTACGTATAGGCTCACTCAAATTAGATCCATTTGCAGAAACATTGTCAATTAACTCGGGATCATCAGTAGTCCCTCCAGAGCGAGAAGTAAGGGAACACGGTTCCATGTGGATATTGTCATCCATCACATCGGAGTGTATCCAGGTACAAGATCTGACTCCCATGTCAACCTTAAATAGGAGACCATAAACAAGAATCAGAGAAATGCATTTTCATCAGAGAATGAACATAAGTGCCATTGTCACTAGCAGGAAGGAAAAAGGGACAAGAAACAATGAAGTGTCTTAGCCAATTGAAGGAAGTCTAATCAACTTCATCTTTAAATATAAGAACCTTTTGGAGGTCATCAGGGATGTATTCCTTGACTTTCTCAATCAGCTCTCTAGGAATTGGATCACCCCTACAGATTGAAATAGAAAAGTCTCAGATACAACTATGCAGTAGCAGCTCAAATCTACGGTGCTTGTGCCAGCATATGTAAATGCACAGGAAAAAACTCATGTATAGGTACCTCACACTGCAATAGAGTAATACAGCAGTACCCAACACATACACATTAACAGGCAAAAGAACTGTCTGAACAGAATTTGTTCTAATAAGGAACAAAGAAATTTTTTGAGGAGCTTAACAAGAGAGTTGAACATTAATCCAGTAGAAAACAAGCAGCCCAAAATCCAACACACAAATTAATAGGAAGTGTTTGTCTAAATATAATTCTTTCCCAATTCTAAATAAGAACTGAATATATCACGTCCTTAATGTGGTGTAGAGGAGAGTTAAGCTACGGTAATATGCCTCCTCTACCATCTTGGTGATGCAATATATAAGTAGTAAAGAAGTCGTTAAGGATTTCTCAAATCAAGAAATGACTTTACAAGGTACTTTCTTTGTCCAAATTTAGGTATCTCACGGAATTTCAAATTGAGTTCATCTTTATAAATTATTTCACCACAACTATTAAGGGAAGAGTTGAATTATATTTTTGTGTGTATAGTGTATACATATGTGTGTGTGTATTATCAATAGAGTTGGAACTTACTATATTTCAATCAAAATTAGTCAAACAAGAAAGAAAATTGACTTTTTCGAGACTTTGAACATTATCTGAAATAAAAGTGGATCTCAAGCTACGGCTCTGGTCACACAGTAACATGTAGGCTGATCTGACACCAAATGAAGAGACAACCAAGAACAACCCCCCTCCCCCCCCCCCCCCCCCCAACAAAAAATAATCATATATAATCCCTGACATAGCATTTACACTGATGTAACACTAATCAACCCAAGAAATTCTCTAATGAGTCGTTTGGTTTGAAGACAAGTAATGTTGGTATTATTTCTTATTGACTGTTCGGTTTGTTGTATTAAAAATAACATGCATTGCAAAATTTCTAAGAAAGAAGTTGTTTGCTTACAAAAATACCCTCCACCTTATTTAGGTTTGAGGGACCAGAGGGGTAATTTTTGTCATTTTCAATGTTTAATCCTGGCATAACTAGTTCCGGTACTATTATTCCACCCTCTAGCAGGGATAACTTTTTTTTTCTTTTCAAAATTGGGGGTAGGGGAAGGGGAAGGGGATTAGAACACTCACCAACAAGGTGAAAATTCAAATATTCAACCAATTGAGCTACTAAGATTCCCCTGCGGCAGGGATAACTTATCCTGGTACTAATTACTAATCCTAATATAACTTATCCCAGGACCATCTATGCTTGTCCAGCATACCAAACGGTCCTTGAGACACATGGTCTCAAGCATCACAGTCAAAGGCACAAAGCCATGCGAGCAGAAGCAAGAAAATAAGGAGAACATTTGCTACATAATATTGAGACTTTAGAATGCTGCTTTATGATCAACAAAGTATTCTGTTGTTAAATGTTTACCATTTGGTCAAGCGATCACAAACATCCTTCTTTTTTCTGTTCAGTGTTTTCAGGAATAAACTCCACTCTGCAGGGACACAAATCTTGTCCTCGTCATCCTCGAGATTCCCATTAGCAGTGGGTACTGCTTTCTGCTGGGTTTCCAACAATGTTAAATCATTCAAAGCTGGGCACGGCACAAGATGAAGGTTGCGCATTTGTTCTCCCAGGAACGAGGCCAAATTTAGAGTGTCTTCCCATGAGATGGAATCTCTTCTGCAAGCAAACACAAACTAAATGAAAAGGGGAGGAACATCAAAAAACAACTGCAAGTACTTCATATAAATGATACAGGCAACTGTAGAAATCGATTTCACTAACATTTGAGCATATATTTTCCCTTTGCATCTCTGTGTTATGACATATGGACATATTGTTGTGCCACTGCCAGTGCTTACTAGTTCGGCTAATGACATCCCGGCTTTTCTATAATCAAGCTGCCTTTTACTCCATAAGCCAAATGGATAATCAGCTTGCTCATGTTCCACAAGGGGTCTAAAATTAGCAATCACCTTTGGAAT